ACTGACAAATCCCTGTGGGAAATAAACTTACAATAAAGCTGCATGAGAGGTTCTGCAACAAAGCATCCCGGTGTTAATTCCTGAGAAAGGAATTGCAGCCCCAGAGGTGAGGCCTGGATAGAGTTGGGCAGATTGAAAATTGGCTGCTTATCTAAAAGCCCACAATAAAGAGGGTGGCTGGGTGAGTGGGTGAGAGGTAACTCCCTATAACCAGGTTTCAGGCCCTCCCCAGCTGATGCTGCAATTGGTAAAGGAGAAAAGCACCAGCAATGCTCTGGGACAGTGATGTGAAGGGCACTGGTCTGCGGCCTCATATCCTCAGTGTCCATAGGAGAAAATTCTCAGGTCTGTTACAGAGCAATGCCTGATATGTCTTCAAAAGAACCCTTTGGATTCAAAACCACCACCTCCAGGCATCACTGAAAGATGAAACACTCCTGGGAATTACTGGCAAATGGCTTTTCTGAGCTACCATGCCAACATGGGCTCGGGTATCTCCTGGTGTTGGTGGATCCCTTTTTGGGGGGTCCAGAAGTACTCCTGCCACACCAACAAGGCCAGGGAAGTCACCCAGGCACTCCCCCAAGAGATCCATACTCAGGCTTAAGGTGCCTACAGGGAAGTCATCTGATAGGGGACCCCAATTGTTATCTGATATAAGGCAGCAATACTGTGAGCAGTGGGGAGTGGGACTGGGGGGAACTGGGGGAACATGCGACTGTGGGATTGGGGTTATGGGGACTGAGCAATAAGAGAGAGAATAGAAAGTTTGAGTTCGCCTGCAGGTGCTGCATAGGGCTTTAAAAAGAATGAGTAAAAACAGTAAAAGGATGTAAAAATGTGTACACAGAGGGGCAAAGGTTGCTGGAACCTGTGGAGGAAGAGATAAAGGGCAATGCAGTGAGGGGTTTTTGGCAAGTTCTGTAACACAGAAAGAGCAGTCACTGCAAAAGCGAAAGTTTGAGAATAGGTCATCTGGCATACTGGGGCACTTAGTGAAACCCACCTCCTATCACCCCATTTTTATGACCCTCCAAGACAATAAAAATTATTTCCCAAAAGAGGCAGAGCCATGCCAATTATTTACGGGAAATGTGCTGGTTTTGTGTTAGCTAAGAAGCCCATTTTGATGAATATTTATAATTAGAATAGATAGATTCTCTTGACAAGGTCCCCCCCTGATGTGGACCAGGAGAGATCTGCGGTGAGTCCGAGCTGATAAAGAATTCAATTTTTCTGCTACCTCCAGTTCCATCAGGGAGTTCTCTCCTGCTGATTTCGATATTGGTGGCTGGGACTACTCCATGGGCATCTAGTGGAGGGACATGTGACTGGGATTGTAGAGTGGGGGCCTGGAGGGCTCCAGGCTGACATTGCAGGGTCAGGGGTTGGTCCCTGAATTTGGGTTGGGGTCCTGGGGTGACATGAAATGGGTAACAGGACTGTGAGCAGGACTGGCATCTGGGAGAGGACCAAGGCGAATGGTTGGGGGCAGATGACGGGGTGGCTTAAGGAATTTGAGTGAGGTTCCTGAGCAACCTGGGGTCACAAGAGGGCTACAAATATCTGGGAGTATAAATGAGATCCTGAGGAGTACAATGGGGACACTGGAAGAATAAAAAAAGGATTGGGATGGAGACTGGGCGGCTGGTGTGTGGGGATTGAGAGACATGGACTCTGCAATGCCAGCAAAGCAAAGCCATTTATTACACCAGTTTACCAGGATTTATAGCTCACTATGTTCATATGAAATTTTCTACTTGGACCCCTTTGCCCCAGTCCCCTTAAAAACACAATATTCTCGCTTATCCTTCTTTCACTAGTAATGTCCTTGTTTTCTGTTTCACCAGCAACATCCCTGTCATCTCTTCTTTACTCAGAGTGGTCAGTGTCAGAGGGTCTGAGTGACCAGAGATGATGTCTTCACTTCTGTTCTTTATTGAATTTTTCTCTCTCATGGTCTTCACTGTACCAGGGCTGCAAGGTCTGCCGTGCTCCCTATTTGAACTTCTGTAGTGGTCTGGGCTTCCACATCTCCCTCTTTTTTGGTTTTTAGTTAATGCATACATGTTAAAGCAGTTCCCATCTGTAAGGCTATTTTCTAATTAAGACTATTACTGGTTATCTGCTAAATACAGGATGAAATATATAGAGTACAGATCACAATTCATAAAAATTTGCCAAAGGCAATCATGGCACTGACAAAGAGATTCACTGCATAGGAGAACAAAAGGATAATGTCCAAGGCTTCCTAGGAAATGAGAAAAATGGCCACTGTTCTAAAGTTCATCTGGTTGGAGCTCGGTGGCCATGCTGAGCCCCTCACAGAGGAACCCTTCCCATGTACCCCCGTGTGTCCTCGGTGTCCCCTCAGTATGTGTACTACTTTGTCCCCGAGTTTCCCACACTGCTCCCAGTAACCTCCCTGCCATGGCTCTCGTGGCTCGCACCCTGGCACTGTTGGCAATGACTGTGACCACTGCAGCTATCAAGGTTGTGCCCCTGGACAGGACCCAGGACTCCTTCAATGACCATTACCGGGGCTGCGGCCCTGCCATTATCGCGGCCTTGCCAGCCCTCAGCCACTTTGAGTTCTAGGTGAATCCTCTCTTCTTCACCCAGAACTGGGTGAAGGCCGAGGCTCATTGGCAAAGTGGGGGTTCCCACTGTCCCCTCTGGCATTCCCAGCCCAGACCGTCGCTCTCACGGCCTACACAACAAAGGACATTTACAAGGACTTCAACGCAGCCATGTGTGCAACTGCATGCTCCTGCCAGGAATACCAGAACAACTTCTGCTTCAAAACACTGCATTTCCTGCTAACTGATGCACTGGTGACACTGAGGCATGCTCAGAAAGGGCAGTGTCACCACGTGTTCTGGGGTGTGCATGATGTCTGGTTCCAGGCACAGTGTGGCCAGAAGGTCCGGTTTAGTCAATTCACATTCTATTAATATATTGTGTCAAATCAAATCTATTAAATGATTCTATCAAGACAACTCCATTAAATAATTCTACCAAAATGATTCCATGAAGTAATTCCAACAGAGCCAGTCAAATGTGACAATTCCTAAGCAGGGCTCATTGTTACTCCCCAGACGAACACTTGTGGGAACGTCTCTTTCTCCCACCATTGAGGAGGACTGTTGGGGAGCATCCCCTTCCCAAGGGAGGAACCTCACACACAAGTATGAATAGGGGAGAGGAATTTCTCTCTGAGAGGGGACTGGGCATTGCCAGGGTTAGGTGATGGATGGCCAGGCCCAGGTCTAATACTTCAGCCTCAGTTGTCAATTTGGGGCTGGGGGTTCAGGCTGGTTTTTAGCTCAAATTAGCACCAGTGCCCTGCCTGGCCTGTGGGGACCTGCTGGAGCAGCTCTGGGGAATGACGTGGGGGTGCTGCTGGGTGACCAATGGAGCTGGCCATGTGGCCTGGGGCCAGGAGTGATTTGGAGGACAATCAGATGAGTGAGGCCAGGAAGTCAGGGAGTGATCGTGTCCCTATCCGGCCCAGTGAGGCACATCAGGAGTGCTGTGCCCAACTCTGTTCAGAGCCATTTCCAGCTGTTCTCAGGGCTGTGTCGACCTCTTCCCAGTGCTATGTCTAGTTCTGTCAAGCTCCATGTCCAGCTCTGCGCAGTGCCATGTCCAGTTCTGCCCGGTGCCGTGTCCAGTTCTGCCCAGTGTCATGTCCAGCTCTGCCCAGTGCTCTTTCCCATTCTGGGCTCCTCAGGACAGGGAAGACCTGGAGGTCCTGGATGGTACCATGTATGCTGACAGGACTGGAGCATTTCTGTCACCAAGTGACAAATACCAGAGAGAATGGATGTCTTCCCTTCCCCTGAAGGTGCTGGACAGAGCCTGAAGACAAACTGGCAGAAATGATAAAACGAGGGGGAGGTGAGCACTCGAGATGAAAATGACAGCTAGAACCCATGGAGAAACAGATACAGGGAACTCCAGTGGGGTTTTGACAAGTTCTGTAACAGGAACCAACAGCACCTGTGCAAAGAAATTGTTCCAGGAACATTGCATTTGGTATCACAGTATTTGGTAAAAAGAGCCCCAGAAGCCTGATTTTTATGACTCTCCAGGACAATAAAAGACCTGTAGGAGGAGGTGGAACAATGCAAACGATTTACAGGAAAAGTACAGTTTCTGTATTAGATAAGTAACACATTTTAATGAATATTTATAATTATGTTGGATAAATACCCCACGGCAAAGTCCCCCCTGATGTGCAGGACCAGGAGAGATCCGCTTTGAGTCTGAGCTGATCAAGAATTCTGGCTTTCTGCTATCTCCATTTCCATCAGGGAGTTCACTCCGGCTGATACTGGTATCACGGTGGGGGGACTCCAGGGGGACTCTTGTGGGGGATCACGGGACTGAGGGATTGGGATTGTAAACATGGGGAGGACACTGGGGGAGTCACAGGACTGGGATTGGGGTAATGGGGGGCTCTGGGAAAAATGAGGGGGGACATGGGATGGTGGGGGTGGGATTGGCGTGATGGGGGAGGACTGGGAGACACTGTGGGGGCAGGGAGCCATGCCTGGATTTGGATTGATGTCCTGGGGAGACACAAAAGAAATTGGGGACTGGGAGTGGGATTGGGGTCTGGAGATGGGCTGAGGGGGACACTGGGTGTCTCGGAGTGACCCCATGATTTCGGTTGAGATCCTGCTGGGGCTGAGAGGACTTGTTGTCATGGGAGTAGGATTGGGCTTCTGGGGGGCCAGGAGGACACAGTACTGTGGGATTGGGATTGGGGTCCCTGGGGGGCTGGGCGACTTTGGGGAGGCATAAGTAACCCCAGAATTTGGGATCAGGGACCCCAGACATGCCCTGGGGTCTGCTGGCCAGGAGTGCCTCCCTTCCCCCTGGGCTGATCCCACTTCCCTCCCCAGTCCCTCACTGATGAACCCTCCCTGTCTCTCCCCCATGTCTCCTCTGTGTCCCCCAGTGTCCCACACTGGTCATTGTGGCCTCTCCTCACCATGGCCCTCCTGTCTCATACCCTGGCACTGCTGGCAATGGCCATGGCTACCACGGCTGTTGATGTGATCCCTCTGGACATGGCCCCGGACTCCTTCGATGATCAGTACCAGGACTGTGGCACTAAAATGATGGCGGAATTGCCGGCCCTCAACCACTCCGAGTTCCAGCAGAATCCTCTTTTTGCCCAGGCCTGGCTTAAAGCCACAGCCGAGTGGCAGAGTCGGGGGTCCCCTATGTCCCCTCTGTCATCTCCAGCCCAGGCTATCGCCCTCATGGCCTACACGATGGATGAGCTGTACACAGAGTTCAACGCAGCCGTGCGTACAGCCGGGCACACCCGCCAGGAATACCGGGACAACTTCCACTTCAAAACTCTGCATTTCCTGCTGACCCAGGCCCTGGTGACATTGAGGCAGGCTCAGAAAGAGCAGTGTCACAACGTGTACCGGGGGGTGCGCAAGTACCAGTTCAAGGCAAAGCCTGGTGACATCGTCCGGTTTGGTCAATTCTCTTCGGCATCACAGAGTGAAGAAATTGCCAATCGCTTTGGGAGTGCCACGGTGTTTGAGGTGTACACGTGCCACGGTGCAGCAATCGGGAGTTTCTCCAAGTTTCCTAACGAGGAGGAGGTGCTGATCCCACCATATGAGACCTTCAAGGTCATCAAAGTCAGCCAAGAAGGAGAACAGGCAAGGATCGAGATCCGCTCCAAGGGGACCTACAGCAACTACACCTGCGAGTGGCTGCAAGGTGACACCACAGTGACAACCTGCGGGGATGGGGACACCCACAGTGGCCATGGGGACATCAACAGTGGACAGGGCACACCCATGAACAGGCACAGAGTGTGGGGACACTCACTCAGAGTTTGGGGACAGAGACAGGCCATACTGGGGACACCAAGCCTGAGGACACCCATGCAGGCATGGAGACATGGCACAGAGATGGAGACCCCCACTTCTGGGAGGGAAAAGGGAAAGGAACACCCATGCCATGGGACAAGGACGGGGACAGAGACATGGGTCCCCGACCCCGTTCCGACCCTGTTACTCCCCACCAAAGGCAGTGCTGTGGGGATGGGCCCTGTGTGCTGGACGTGGGTGGGCTGGGACCCCTCATGGCACATCCTGAACCTGTCACCCGCCATGGCACCTCCTGACTCTACCTGACCCCTGTCACCCCTAAGCCCACCATGACACCCCTGACCTCCATGGCCCCTCTACCCCTCCGTGCCTCCCCCAACATCCTCTCACCTGTCAACTCATGGTCCCCATCTCTCCTGTTTCCCCTAACCCTCCAATATGCATGTCCCCAACTCCCTCCCTCCTCACATGGTCCCCTCTGACCCCTTCTCTGTCCCCCAGGTGGGAGCATCCCCAGCACCCCCTTCCACCTCGGAGGACTCCTCCTGGCCACCACAACCTTGGCAGTGGCAACAGGGATCCTCTGAGCCAGCAGGCCACCAATGTCACTGAATTCACTGTGGTCACTGTGGCCACCACAATCACCAAAACCTCCAGGACCCTCAGAGAAACGAGACCACCAAGGCTACCATGGCCACCACTGCCACTCTGGCCACCTTGGCAGCTATTGCCACCATGAGGTCACTGCGGTCATCAGAGGCACTCTGGACACCATGGTCTGTATGACCACCAAGGCCGCTGTAAACACCAAGACTCCCTGACCCACCACAGCCACTCTGACCACTGTGCACATCAGGGCAATTGTGCAAAGCAATCCTATTAAAAATTTCAATCAAAACAATTTCATTGAATAATCCTGTCAAAGCCAGCAAATTGAGACAATTCCTAAACAGGGCTCAATGTCTTTCCCCACACCAACAATCATGGGAATGTCTCTTTCTCTCCGGCTCAAGGAGAATCCCTGGGGAGCATTCCCTTCCCAAGGGAGGATTCTCACACACATTTCATTCCATGCAGAATAAGGGAGAGGAATCTCTGTCTCAGAGGGGGCCTCAATGTTCCCAGTGTCAGCTGATGGATGGCCAGGCCAAGCTCCGATGCTTCATCCTCAGTTGTCAATTCAGGGTTGGTGATTTGGGCTGGTTTTACCCCAATTCAGCACCAATATCAGCAGAAGACCCCTCTCAGTGCAGTCTTGATGGCCACAAATGTGGCATTGTCCCTTGGGCACATTCCAGGCAGATCATCTTGCCACATCGTGCACTTCAGGGGGACCTTACAGGCTGGGATTTGGGAGGTTCAACAGGGAAAGGGCAGCTCCTGTCCCTGGGGAGGGACAAATCCCCAGTGCCTGTCCTGGGTGGTTGGCCTGCCGGAGCAGATCTGGAGAAGGATCTGTGGTGCTGGTGGGTGACCAGGCGAGCTGGCTTTGTGGCCTGGGGCCAGGAGGGACCTAGGGGATGTTAGAAAGAGTGGGGTCAATACGCCAGGGTTGGTCCATCCTAAAACATTGCAGAGCCCCTGGGGCCGGGATGGGGCGGGGTGGGCGCTCAGCAGGGCCAGCAGCTCGTGCTGCTGCCTGCTGTTGGCAGCCGGAACTGCAGCTGGGAGCGGCGCATGCACAGTGCCACTGATTTCCCACACTCGCTGCTGCCCTCGGGTGGACAATTCCCAAATCACAGCTACAGGAGATGAGGGGGTAAAGAGGGAAAATCCCTGATTTGAAACAAAAAAGGGTTTCCTGAATGAAACATCAGGAGTTTTCATCAATAAATGGGTGGTGCTGCCTCTGTCCCCTTTTCTCCATTTTGTTTTACATCCTTTCTCTTTCTGTTTGTTCTTTCTTTTTTTTCTTCCCAGTGCTTCTTCTGTTGCATTGCCTCAAATCAGGAAATTCTGAACAGGCCCCAGACTGATTGTTCATCCTTTTTTAATTGCACTGAGCAGCCCCCGCCAGCTCCCTCAGCCCTTCCTGGTTCTCCAAACCCTTCTACTTTTCCATCTCTTCCCTGGACATGCTCCAGCCCCTCCAGGTCCTTTCTGAGGGTCTCCAGTGAAAAAGGGAAACATTTCCCTCTTCAGGAAAAAGGGAGGAATATTTCTCCATCACCTGTTTGAAGATCAAGCTTTGAAAAATAAAGCTTTCAGTGGTCTCTAAAGAAAACTCCAGGAACTGCTTTATTTTAGGAAATGAGGCACTCTGCAGGAAGGGCGTTAAAGGAGCTGTAGGGGATACATCAGGTGAGCCAGCAGCAAATTTTGGTAAAGTTTTGATACACCCGGCGAGCAAGGATCAGGGTTTTATTCATTTCTTATGCAGCAAGTGAGCAGGCAGCAATTTATTGCTACACCAGGCAAGGCAGCCAAGGAGTGCTAGGAGGTGGCCGTGACATTGCCACTCCCCAACCCCTCTGTCCGGAAGTGCCCAAGTGGCCCCAGGTGCTGCCCAATCTCTGCTGTCCATGCTGTCCTGTGCTGTCATGGCAGCTCCAGGCCCCTCATGCTGGACATGCTGACCTGGCATCATTCCCTCACTGGGCACCTCTTGGAGGGGCTTTTCCAGGATGGACACCATGGTACAGTGACCATGGTGGCCACAGTGGCTGTGGTGGCCATGGTGACCTTGGTCGCCTTGGTAGCCATGGTGTCAATGGTGGTCTCAGAAGTTGCAGTGAACACAGTAGTCGCAGTGTGCACGGTGACATCATGGGTCACTGTGGGCACAATGACCATGCTGACGATGGTGGTTCCAATGCCCAGAGTGCCCAGAGTGGTCGTAGAGACCAAAGTGGCCACAGTGGCCATAGTAACAATAACGACCACAGTGGTCACAGTGGGAAAAAGGGACCATAGTGGTAATAATGCCCTCCGTAGCTTTGGTGGCTTCATTTTTCTGTGGGTCCTGGTGGCCTTCCACAGTGGCCTCTACAACCACCACAACCTTGGTGGCCTTGTGGCTTAGAGAGTTCCAATGGCCACTGCCATGGCCACGGTAGCAAGGAGAAGCCCCCCAAGATTGGGAGAGTTCCTGGGGAGGCTCCCACCTGTGGGGAGAAAGAGAGGGGTCAGGGGATCCTGGGGTGGGAGGGCCAGGGGGGCATGAGGAGGGCCATGGGGAGAGGGACAGAGGTGGTGGGGGGCCCTGAGGGTGTGTTGTCAGAGGGGGCCATAATGAGGTCCATGTCCCCTGTACCCAGCAATGTACCATGTACCTTGTCCCCCCAACCCCCGCACTGGATGTCCCTGTCCCCCTCACCTGGCACTGGGAGTCCCTATTTCCTGCACCCAAGCAATGCTGTCCCTGACCATGTCTCGACCTCTGGGTGTCTTGTCTCCCAGGCACAGTGTGTGTCCCTGTTCCCTCTGGGCCATGGGTGTCCTCAGCACCATGTCTTCTTGTCCCCAGTCCTCACTGAGTGTCCCCATCCCCCCAGGTTGTTCCCATGATGTCACCTCGCAGTCACTCGCAGTTGTAGTTGCTGAAGTTCCCAGTGGAGCGAAGCGCAATCTGCACCTTCTTCCCTTCCCTGGTGACTTTGGTGACCTCAAAGGTCTCAAAGGCTGGGATCAGCACTTCCTTCTCACTTTGATTGAAGGAGAATTTCTTGATATGCGCTCCGAGACACGTGCGCACCTCGAACGTTGTGTCTGTCCCATAATAATTGGCCACTGTTTTATTCAGTGACGACGAAGTGAATTGACTAAGGCGGACTTTATCACCATATTTCACAATGAACTGTGTCTTTTTCACTCCCCAGGACATGTCCAGACACTTATTATGGCATCTCAGCTTCTGGAGGGCCTGGGTCAGCAGGAAATGCAGCGTTTTGAAGTGGAAGTTGTACCGGTACTCCTGGCAGGAGCATCCAGCCGAACGCACGGCTTCATTGAACTCCCTAAACACGTCATTCATTGTGTAGACCATGAGGGCGATGGCCTGGTCTTTGGTCAGAAAGGATGAATAGGAGCCTCGTTTCTGCCACTCGGCTGTGGCCTTCTCCCAGGCCTGGGAAAACTTCTTGTTCTCCCGGAAGTTGGAGCGCATGAGGGCTGGCAAGGCCGCAGTCATGGCAGGGCCACAGTTCAAGTACTGGTCATCAAAGGAGTTGTGGGCCATGTCCAGGGGCACCATCGTGATGGCCGCAGTGGCCACGGTCATTGCCAGCAGTGCCAGGGTGTGAGCCAGGGGGGCCATGGAGAAGAGAGGCCACAGGGACCAGTGGGGGACACTGTGGGACATAGAGGGAACACAGAGGACAGACGGTGTGACACAGGGAGAACACTGGCGGATACCAGGGGATTCTAAGGGGACACTGATGGGACAGAGGGGATTCTGAGGGACATGGCGGGACATAGGGAGGCTTCCTTGGTGAGGGGCTGGGGAGTGACAGTGGGGTCAGCCTAGGGAGAGTGGGGACTGCCCTGGCCAGAAGACCCCTGGACATGTCCTGGAACCTGATCCCAAATCCTGTGATCATTCCAGGATGTCCCATTGTTCCCTAGACTCTCAATCCAACTCCCAGCTCTGTGACCCCCCTCCCGGTCTTTCCCAGTGCCTCCATTACCCCAATCCCTCTCCCAGTCCCTTGTACCCCTCCCAGTGACCCCATGTCCCCCAAGACCCTGACCTAAGGTTTGGGGTCCCCAATGGGTCCCACTTGTCTCTGTCCCCTCCCCACCTTACCCGAATCCCACTCTCAGTCCCATGACCTCCCTGGTGACCCCTGGACCCTGATCCAGTCCCATGTGCCCCCAAAGAGTCCCCCAGTACCCCACTGCCACTCCCATGGTCCTGGGTCTCCCATTGCTGGCCCCCGGAACACACCAGTACCCCTGTCCCTGTCCTGTGACACCCCAGTGCCCCCCCAGACCCCAATCCCACAGTCCCATGATCCTCCCCAAGGGTGCCCAATCCCTGATACCGAAATTGGCTGGAGTGAACTCCCTGATGGAACTGGAGGTATCAGAAAGCCAGAAATCTTTCTCAGCTCAGACTCACAGCAGATCTCTCCTGGTCCTGCACATCAGGGGGGACTTTGCCATTGGGTATTTATGCATCAGAATTATAAATATGCTATAAATTGTGTCCTTTATCTAATACAGAAACCAGCACTTTTCCCGTGAATAATCTGCATGGCTCTGTCTCTTTTAGGAAATAATTTTTATTGTGCTGGAGAATCCTAAAAAAGAATTTTCTCAATGTGGTTTTCACTGAGTACCCCAATATCCCAGATGACCTTGCCTCAAAATTTTGCTTTGGGCAGGCGCTGCCCCTTCTGTGTTACAGAACTTGCCGAAAACCCTTTACAGCAGATACCACTTGGGGTCCCCGCATCAGATGACATCTGCAGAGAATCAGCAATGGAGCATCACACCATGATCAATATGATCAAGTGAAGTCAAATTTATTACAAGAACAAAATGTATTTGTTCTTTGTTCTGCTGTTCACTCACCTCAAGCTACTCCATGATTGGTTTAGCCTATCTATGCACATGTCTCGAGCCTTCAGCTGATTGGTTAGTCTTCTTTCTTCATGCGTATCATTGTGGTTTATTGTTTTGTCTTCATGCACTCCGCTGTGGTTTTTTTGCTCCGTCTTCTTAGCGCGCCTCACATCCTGGACTTGTTTTTCTCCTGAGTAGGCTCTTCCTGTTTTTGAGCTATCGGGGGCAATGTGAAATTCTACTCAGACCCCATAAAGGCTGGCTTGGGCACAGTGTCCATTTTCCCACAAAAAATCCCTCAACAGACATCCCTGCAAGCACCTTGAGCCTGAGGATGATCTCTTGGGGCAGTGCCTGGGTGACTTGAGCTGAGTGGAGCGGCCCAAAGAAGTGGCTGTGCTACAATATGAGGCACACCAGCTTGGGGATTGACAAATCCCTGTGGGAAATAGACTTGCATTAAAACTGCATGAGAGGTTCCTTTGAATTCAAAATCACCACCACCAGGCATCACTGAAAGAGAAAACACTGCTGGGGATAACGGGCAAATGGATTTTCTGAGCTACCACGCCAACATGGGCTCAGGTATCTCCTGGTGTTGGTGGATCCCCTCTTGGAGGTCCAGAACTTCTCCTGCCACACAGGGAAGTCACCCAGGTACTCCTCCAAGAGATCATCCCCAGGCTCAAGATGCCTGCAGTGATGTCATCTGATAGGGGACCCCAAGTGGTATCTGAGGTGTGACAGCAACTCAGTGTGCCATGGGGAGTGGGACTGGGTGGAACTGGGGGGGACATGGGACTGTGGGATTGGGTTCGTGGGGCCTGAACAATAAGAGAGAGAACAGAAAGTTTCAGATCCCTTAAAGGTGCTGGATAGGCCTTAAAGAAGAACTAGCAAAAAACCGTAATGGAATGCAAAATGTGTGCACATGAGAGCAAAGAGACAGAGATAAAGGGAAGTCATGTGAGGGGTTTTTGGCAAGTTCTGTAACACAGAAGGAGCAGCAGTGTCTGCCATATGTGAAAGTTCAAGCTGAGGTCTTCTGCGATATTGGGGCAATCAGTGAAAACCACACTGAGAAAACTCATTTTTAGGACTCTCCAGTACCATAAATGGATTTCCAGAAAGAGGCCAAAGTATGCAAATTATTTTTCAGAAATGTGAAGTTTCTGTACTAGGTGAGGGACACATTGTAATGAATGTTTGAAATTGTGGTGGATAAAGACCCTGTGGCAAAGTCCCCCGTGACCTGCAGGACCAGGAGAGATCCACTGTGAGTCTGAGCTGATAAAGAATTCCGGCTTTCTGATACCTGCAGTTCCATCAGGGAGTTTGCTCCAGCTGATTTCAGTATTGGGGCTGGAGGGACCCCTGGGGACTCTTGGGGGAGGCACGGGACTGAGGGATTGGGATTGCGGTGCTGGGGGGACACTGGGGGAGTCACAGGTCTGGGATTGGGGTAATGGGTGGCTCTGGGGGAAAATGAGGGGGGACACAGGATGGTGAGAGTGGGATTGGGGTGATGGGGGCTGAGAGACGCTGTGGGGGCAGGGGGTGATGCCTGGATTTGGGTTGATGTCCTGGGGTGACACCGAAGAAATTGGAGACTGGGAGTGGGATTGGGGTCTGGGGATGGGCCGAGGGGGACACTGGGGGGCTCAGGGCGTGACCCCCAGGATTTGGGTCAGGGACCCCAGACATGCCCAGGGGTCTCCTTGCAAGAAATGCCTCTCTATTTCCCTGGGCTGACCCCACTTCCCTCCCCAATCCCTCACTGAGGAACCCTCCCTGTGTCTCCTCTGTGTCCCCTCTGTGTCCTCCAGTGTTCCACCCTCATCCCTGTGGCTTCTCCACTCTATGGCCCCCCTGGCGCAGACCCTGGCACTGCTGGCAATGACCGTGGCCACCACAGCTGTCAAGGTGGTAACCCTGGACATGGCCCAGGACTCTTTCGATGACCAGTACCGGGAGTGTGGTCCTGCCATGACTGAGGCATTGTCAGCCCTCAACCGTTCCGACTTTGATCAGAACCCTCTCTTTGCCCAGGCCTGCCCTAAGGCCAGAGCCAAGTGGCAAGGTCAGAAGTCCCCTGTGTCCTCTCTGTCATCTCCAGCCCAGGCCATTGCCCTCATGGCCTACACGATGGATGAGCTGTACAGAGAGTTCAACGCAGCCCTGCGTACAGCCGGGCGCTCCAGCCAGGAATACCGGGACAACTTCCACTTCAAAACTCTGCATTTCCTGCTGACCCAGGCCCTGGTGATGCTGAGGCAGGCTCAGAAAGAGCAGTGTCACAACGTGTACCGGAGGGTGCGCACGTCCAGGTTCAAGGCAAAGCCTGGTGACATCGTCCGGTTTGGTCAATTCTCTTCGGCATCACAGAGTGAAGAAATTGCCAATCGCTTTGGGAGTGCCACGGTGTTTGAGGTGTACACGTGCCACGGTGCAGCAATCTGGAATTTCTCCACGTATCCTAAGGAGAGGGAGGTGCTGATCCCACCATATGAGACCTTTGTTGTCATCAAAGTCAGCCAGGAAGGAGAAAGGGCAAGGATCCAGCTCCGCTCCAAGGGGACCTACAGCAACTACACCTGCGAGTGGCTGCAAGGTGACACCACAGGTGACAACCTGGGGGGATGGAGACACCCACTGTGGCCATGGGGACACCATGATAAGGCACAGGGACAATGACACTCCCTGGGGGTTGGGGGACAGCAACACTCGGTGGGGGGGAGACCCCGTATACACTGCGGACACTCTTGACAGGGCACAGAGGGTGGGGAAAATCACTGAGCATTTGGGAACAGGGACAGCCCATGCTGGGGACACCAAGTCTGGGGACACAAATGTGGGCATGGGGACAGGAATGCCCATGACAGGGAACAGGGATGGGGACTCCCACTTCTGGGAGGGAACACAGACTGGGACACCCCTGCCATGGGACAACAGGGACAGAGAAAGAGATAAGGACCCCCTGTGCCTACCGAGTTCCCCTCTGCCGCATCCCTGTGGGGATGGGCCCTGTGTGCTGGATGTGGGTGGGTCACGGACACTCCCTGGCACTCCCTGAACCTCTGTCCCCCCTATGGCACCTCTGACTCCTCCTGACCCCTGTCACTGCTAAGCCCACCATGACACCCCTGACCTCCCTGGCCTCCGTACCCCGCCATGCCCCCCACAACACCCTGTCACCTGTTAATTCATGGCCCCATCACACCAGTCACCCCTAACACCCCATTATGTCCGTCCCCATCCCCCTCACTCCCCACATGGTCCCCCTGACCCTGCTCTCTGTCCCCCAGGTGGAAGCATCCCCAGGGCCCCTTTCCATGTCAGCAGACTCCTCCTGGCCACCACAGCTCTTGCAGTGGCAACAGGGATCCTCTGAGCCATGAGGCCACAAAAGTCACTGTCTTCACTGTGGTCACTGTGGCTACCAACGTCACTGTTGTCACTGTGGCCACCACAATCACCAAAGCCACCAGGATGACCAGAGAAACAAGACCACCAAGGCTACCAAGGCCACCATGGCCACCACTGCCACTATGGCCTTGGCCTTGGCAGCTACTGCCACCATGAGGTAACTCCAGCCATCACAGGCACTCTGGACACCATGGTCTGTATGACCACCAAGGCCACTGTGAACTCCAAGACTCCCTGACCCACCAGAGCCACTCTGACCACTGTGCACATCAGGGCCATTGTGCAAAGGAATTCTATTAAAAATTTCTATCCAAACAGTTTCATTAAATAATTCTGTCAAAGCCAGCAAAAAGACACAATTCCTAAACAGGGCTCGATGTCATTCCCCACACCAAGAATCATGGGAATGTCTCTTTGTCTCAGCCTTGAGGAGGATCCCTGGCAAGTATCCTCCTCCCAAGGGAGGATCCTCACATACATTTCATTTCAAGCAGGAACAGGGGAAAGGAATCCCTGTATGAGAGGGGACTGGACATTCCCAGAGTCAGTTGATAGATGGCCAGACCCAGCTCTGGTCTTTTAGCCTCAGTTGTCAATTCAGTGTTGGTGATTTGGGCTGCTTTTAGCCCAATTCAGAACCCAAATGAGCAGCAGACCTCTTTCAGTGCAGCCATGATTGCCACAAATGTCCCTTGGCCACATTCCAGGCAAAGCATCCTGCCACATCCTGCAGTTCATGGGGACCTTAAAGGCTGGAAATTGGGAGGTTCAAGAGGGCAAGGGCAGGTTTTGTCCCTGGGGAGGCACAGTCCCCACTGCCAGTCCAGGCTGGAGGGGGCCTGCTGGAGCAGTTCTGGAGAAGGACATGGGGGTGCTGGTGGGTGACCAGGGGAGCTGGCTGTGTTGCCTGGGACAAGAAGGGATCCAGGGAGTATCAGGAAGACCAGGGCCAGGAAGTCAGGGAGTGATTGTGCCCCTCTGCCTTGCCCAAAGAGGCACATCAGAAGTGCTGTGTCCAACTCTGCCGAGTGCCGTGTCCAGGTCTGGGCTGCTCTGGATCCAATCCTGTGCTCAGGGATGACGCTGCCTGAGCTGAGAGGTTGGGCCAGGTGTCCACTCTGGGTCCTTCCTGCCTGACCCATTCTGGGATTTGGGGATTCTGGCAGTGCGGTTTGGGAATTGTGCACCGTAGGGCAGCAGCGAGCGTGGGAAATCAGCGGCACTGCACATGTGCCACTCCGGGCTGGAGTGACCTTAAAGCTGGTCCAGTGCCAGCCCTGCCATGGGCAGAGACCTCTTCCTCTGGGCCAGGCTGCTCCAGACCCTGCCCAGTCTGGCCTTGAATGCTTCCAGGTGTGGGGCAGCCACAGCTTGGTTATAGATTGGTAATATGATAATTCACTCTCACAATTAAAGGGTGAGTATTGTGTGTAGATTAAGAGAAATTTTGTTGACTTATGTTTATGTGATTGTAGCTTGGTTTTCGGACATTCTTTGCTGTCTCCACTGCCCCCTTTCCCCCCTCTGTATTGTTCATAGCAGATGGCCCTGGTTGTCAGAGTTGTCAGGGATATGTGGGGGCCGGACATGTACCTGTGCCTCTGGTATTGGGCATTTGGGAATGGAGAAAACCTGTTGCTGGGGAGGCGTGGCATGCCTCACGTCCCCTCACCTCACCCTACCTCACCTCACCTCACCTCACCTCACTTCACTTCACCTCCAGTCAAGTTACAAGAAATTATCCACCAACACATGGCAAAGAAAGTTTGAATGGCAGACTTTGGGAAAGCCAGATTTGGCTGATGCGACACTGGGGGTATAAAAGATGAAGCCACCATTTTGTGGATGATTCACTGGCAGTTCCTTTGTTGTGTTGTTGAGGTCTAATAAACCTTTAAAATTTGAAAGTGAGCAGTTATTTCTCACAGTCACCATGGTCTCCATGATCACCATGGCCAGCATGACCCCCAGAAAAATGTGTCCTCCAAGGCCACCGCTGCCATTTTCCCTGGAGGAAAAAAAGAGAAAAAAGGGAGAAGAGTAGAGGAAGAGGAAAACCAAAACTCTTCCCCACACTCTTTCTCCCCCAACATCTCCCTGACTGTCCTAACTTTTCTGGAAATTCATTCATTTGCATTCTTGCCCAAAATCTGAGTTTTCTCACATACTCAGGATTCAATCACAAGCAAATTCTATTTCGGCACCACAATTAATTCAGCTCTGAAAGGAATATGAGAAAAGTGTCATTACAAACAGATTGTGTAAATCTGGTGGTTGGTAGGGCCAAGGACTTGTAGATAAGGAAGTTACCAGAGAAACTATCAGTTTCAGAAAATGTTCTTCATTGACACGGACTGCTGCTCAGCCAAGGTCTTGTTGAATTCCTGAACTTCAGGAAGAACAAAGACTTAACAGGCTTATGAATTTTAGTCTCCCCCCCCAGGGTGAAATTAAAGCTCATTTTAATGGTCATGTGTCTGTGTTAAAGAAAGGAGGGGTCTGTAGAGAGGGGAACGTGCAGTGGCTGGGTTAGGAAGTCTACACCTTCCAAATACCTCAGGCAATGGAGAAAGGGAGTAGAAGATATGGCCAGTAAATTGGGATAAAAAGGGGGCTGCATCGTCCAGGAACTTGAGACACCCCATGGGGAAATTCCCCATGGCATATTCCTTTGCTCTTGAATAAAATTACAGGACTCTTCTGTCTCCTTTCTGAAAGGAAACCTCTGGCAAGGTGAATATTTCTGCTTAAAAGGTAGATAGCAAGATGTTCTACCTGAATCCTAAGCGGTGTGCTTAGCTGCAGCCAGAGTCTCAGCCACAAAATGGCAGTTCTACCTTTTATGCCCCTGGTGTTGCATCAGCCAAATACATATCCATAAGTAGTCATATACATACAAAAAATTTCCTTCTATATCCCTAGCCCCTCCAGGGCCTGGTCTGCCAACTGACTCTCCCTTGCTGTCCATTGGTGGAGACCTTCCTGCAGTCTGATTGGAGGTGAGGTTTTGTCATGCCATGTCTCCCGAGCAACAGGCTTTGCCTTTCCCGACTGCCCCATGCAAGGGGCACAGGTAAACGTCCTCCCTCCACATGTTCCTAACAGCCCTGATAACCAGGGCCATCTGGTGGCAGCATTACAAAGTGGGAAAATGGGACTATGGAGGGAACAGAGTGTGTCTGAAAAACAAACCACAATAACATAACTGTAAATTAACAAAATTTCCCTTAATGTATACACAATATTCATCCCTTAATTGTGAGAGCAAATCACCATGTTACCCATCTATACCAAAGTTGTGGCTGCCCCACTCCTGGAAGAGTCAAAGGTCAGACTGCACAGGTTGTGGAGCAACCTGGCCCAGGGCAAGATATCCCTGCCCATGGAAGGGCTGGCACTGGACGGGCTGTAAGGTTGCTCCATTGCAAACCATTGCAGAGCCCCTGGGGCCGGGATGGGGCGGGCGGGACGCTCGGCAGTGGCAGCAGCTCATGCTGCCACCTGCTGCTGGACCCTGGTACTGCACAGTGCCACTGATTTTGCCATGCTTGCTGCTGCCCTCCGGTGGACAATTCCCAAACCACAACTGCCAGAATCCCCAAATCCCAGCATGAGTCAGGCTGGAAGGACCCAGAGTGGGCACCTGGCCCAGCCACCCAGCCCAGGCGGCATCATCCCTGAGACCAGAGTTTGGTCCAGAGCAGCCCAGAACTGGATGGAGCACTGGGCAGAGTTGTACATGGCACACCTGATGTGCCTCCCTGGGCAAGGCAGAGGGACACGAAGACTCCCAGACCTCCTGGCCCGGCTCTTTCTGGTGCCCCCTGGATCCCTCCTGGTCCCAGGACAGTTGGCCAGTTATGCTGGTCACCCACCAGCACCCCCATGTCCTTCTCCAGAGCTGCTCCAGCTGTTCATCCCCATCTGGGATTGACACTGGGGACTGTCTCTCCCCAGGGACAGGACCTGCTCTTGCCCTCTTGAACCTCCCAGTTTCCAGCCTTTAAGGTCCCCTTGAAGTGCAGGATACGGCAGGATGCTTTGCCTGGAATCTGGAGAAGGGATAATTGGCCCATTTGTGGCCTCGGGACTGCAATGGGAGGGGTCTTGTACTGATATTGGTGCTGAATTTGGTGAAAACCAGCCCAAATCACCACCCTGACGTCACAACTAGGGTGAAGCACCAGAGCTTGGCCTGGCCATCCATTAACTGACCCTGGGAATGTCCAGTCGCATCTCAGACAGAGATCCCTCTCCCCTATTCCTGCTCGGAATGAAATGTATGAGAGGTTCCTCTTTTGGGAAGGGTATGCTCCCCATGGATTCTCCTCCAGGTTGAGAGAAGGAGACATTCCCGCAAGTGTTGTTGTGGTGAGTGACATCGAGCCCTTGCCACTTTTGGCTGGCTTTGACAGATTTATTTAATGGAATTGTTTTGATTGAATTATTTAATAGAATTGCTTTGCACAGTGGCCTTGGTGGCCACACTGACCAGAGCAGCTATGGTATCCTTGTGGCTGAGGGTGTCTTGGTGATCAGGTGGTCACAGTGGCCTTCGTGGTTACAGTGAGCATGGTGGGCAGAGTGGCTGTGGCGGCCTTAGTAGCTTTGGGGGTCTTATTTCCATGGGAGTCTTGGTGGTTTTGCTGATAGAGGTGGCCACAGCAATGACAGTGATCTTGGCATCCATGGTGGCCATGGTTGCCACAGTCACCACAGTCACCACAGTGACCTCGGTGGCCTTGCCAGCCTTGTGGCTCAGGGGATCCTGGAGGTAACTTCCAGATATGTGGGGTGAGGAGGAGTTTTCTGAGGTGGAAGGGGGCTCTGGGGATGCTCCAGGGGATGCTCCCAGGGATGCTTCTGGGGAAGAAAGAGGGGGGTCAGGGGGACCATGAAAGGAGTAAGGAGGTCAGGGACAGTCATAATGGTATGTCAGGGGTGACAAGATAGCTGGGGACCATG